CCCCCCTGGATCCGCCCTTGCAATGAACCTACACTAACCCAAATTCAACGCATCTTTAAACCTTACAACATTAGCTATCATCTCAGCTTACAACATAGCGACTAGTCTGTGCTAACCCAAACTTACAGCACTCACACGAAAGTATACTATTCCATTTATTTATGCAGTCTGGCAACACTGCACAAAATATGGCGTAAATATCGGCACAATAAACAGAGATTTTATTAGTTTGTAGATGTTTTCTAGCCTGATTCTATTGACCATCCGCATTTTTTCCCCTTGAATGTGCTTAATTTACGTGTACTTTCAGGGAAAATTAAAAAGAACCCCGAAATCCGCCAGATGATATAAAGTGCACATTCACCGATTACCTTGAAAAACATTGTTGCCGTTTTTCTAATGTAGTTTTTTGCAAATTTCTCAGTTTTAATAACCATTAATTTGTTTTACTATTTTCTCTGTACTCCTAAAACACCACCAGACAACACCTCCAGAAGATTAACGCCAATTTTGAATCACCCTGTATATCCATGCGTTTTCAACACCCTATAAATCCGTAGCGAAGCATTTTGGGTCATCGTTTCTCAGCAAATCAGGGATATTTTCCGACATGGACCTCATCAAACACCTTGATATAAATGTATATACATTTACTATCTACCAGCTTTAACTTTAGGCTCCAAATGAGCTTTTTGCATGAGTCAACCGGCGCAATTTTTAAAACCTGAGGCAAAACTACGTGCAAATATGGTAAAAAGTAGTGCAGGCAGAAAGCGCAAATATTGCGTGTTTCGAGCGCAAATTGCAAATTTTTAATTGAATTTCTGGTTTAAAGTTGAGTTGGTGAGTGGCAAAAATTTCGTTTTGGGGCAAAGCGCCTCCAAATGCCGAACAATGGGTCTGATGAAAAAGTATTTCGGTGCTCAAGAGCTCCTTAATTGTTGAAAATTTTCAATGCGAAACACTTACTGCCCCACTCGATGTGAGTCAATTCAAATTCCTAAAAAATCTTCAGTTCGTCCGAAACAAACCTTATTCAGAACCCTCATAAAGCATGCGAAGTCGCATTCTTGGGGCCTTTAATTTGTTAATAAACGCATGGAAACTACAACGTAACGTGCGAGAGAAATCGGGAAAGTTATGCATCCTGCCAATGATAGGCACCACATCGTTATCACGTATCGCAAAATTGATTCAAAGAATATGTCATTAAGTTAAGGCGAAGACATTAATGTATTCATTACTTCGCTGGCAAGCTGAGGAGGTGGACTGTGCATTCGAAAATTACATGTTTGTTGCAAAAAAACGCACAGACGATTTGAATAATGTATCGCAGTTATTCGGTAACGGGCGTTGTTTCTGATGGTTTTCTTAACAACCTGGGAAATTTCCTAATAAATCAGCTAACGTGTTTCAAGTCGCTAATTAAGGCGCAGTTAATTAGGGTATTGTGCAGTCGATGTATTTAAAATAGCCAATCAGTGGTGATTTAATGGTCTGAAGACCGGAGATTGTCCCACCAAACCCATACTTTGTACTTTCGTCGAGCGAAAAACGACATAATTTGTATGATTCCGCATCAAACAGCACAATGATCGTCGCACCTTTATGCCCATCCACTCGTAAAACGTACAGAGAAAGCTTTTCTAAGTCAACAGCAGCAGTGAATACGCGGAAGTTCCATAACGATCTAAGTAGGGGCATGTTTTATCGCCCCCGTATAAATCATGTTTAGCAAACGGGACTTGCATATTGACTACCTGTACTTATCTTATCAGGGGCAAATATACGGTTTTTATGGAGGCGAAGAGGAGGAAATGACGTTATTTTATACGGGGAAAGATGTTGGGATTTCTCTTTACCAACTAAACCCAGTTACCCGGTTAGAGGGTGATTTTTGGAAAGTTCTTATAGGTACAGGTAAACCGTATTTTTTTTTAAGTTTTTATCGATTATGGCAAAATTTTACATTATACCTAACTGGCAACTGGTCAGCAAGCAAGTGAGGTGAGGGTCTAAAACCCCGAAAAACTTAATGAAGCCTTCAACCAGTCTCTTAATGGTGAGATTTTCCGGCTTTATTAATTAATTTTTTAACAAAAAACTCGCCAGGGTCAAGCAATACCCGTGCAAGGAAAGAAAAAACTCTACTATTCAATTTTCAGAATTTTTTGCATCGTTTTCCAATCCGTTTGTTTTCGAGTTATTTCATGACAAAGTAAGCTATGCTGATTATGGGTCACCCTGTACACTGGTGTCCTAATTCCTCTGAAAATTTGCAGAAACCGTTTGGAAATTTCCAAAATGCCGCCTAATTTCTAATAAGCAAATTTCCGGGTGCTCTGATATGAATAGCGACTATTTCTATCTCAATTCCGTAAAATTGGCAAATTGCTGACTGTTTTCAGTGATTTTTTGGCAATTTGCAACAGCATTTCCATTTGGTGTTTCACTTCAGCTCATCAACAGAAAAATTTATTTTCCAATGTAAAAAATTTGCAAAATTTCAAAGAGGCTACTTTCAGCTTTATTCGTAAACTCTGGTGATTTTTCAATCAACAAACTTACTCTTCTATACCTTTTACCGATAATCCCAAAATCGTACGCAACAATAGGGTGTTTTCATTGTATCAAAAATTCCTACAAACTGAACGAAGATATATATGAAAGATTAAATAAGTTTATACTATCTATCTATTGCTATTTTGTTAAATATTTAATAAACAAATTCAGCT